TGTAATAAAACTAAATAACAACAAAAAAAAGACCTAAGGGATCCTTATCAAGTTTGCTGTATTTATGTAGAAAAATCCAGATTTTTATATTTTACTTTTTATAACTTAACTTGGCCACAAACTCTGACATGGCTCAAACTGTAATTACCAGTTTATCATATGAGCAACATTCATAACTGTCAAGTCAGCACCAGCTTGGTCCTTTGCTGAAACGAGTCTGTATCACCAGGGTGATCTGAGTAAGAGAGAGATGGTTCAGTACAGCTCAGTCCCTTACCATTAGCGCTGTCAGGAGAAGACCAGGTCCCGTAATATTTGGGCAGATAGTTCTGGAGGTCTAGAAGACAAGGATCACAGCAGTCCTCTGCATACACCTAGAAAACACAGACACATACCATACACATCATCTACTTCAGAGGTGTGTAACCTGTCTGGCTGTATATTCAGCAGTGAATTATGCCTACAATGTTAGTTTTGCATCGTCACTGAACAGCTTCTGCTAATATAGCCATTCTTATGACCTGCTGACACTGATTACACTACCTTGGCAGTAGCCACAGTGCAGAACTTTAATGTCACTCTAAGACAATTAGCAATTAAGAGCAATTGCATGTTAAGAGGACAAACTGTACAGTACTTGTATGTCGCATTTTATGTACTGAACATTTTTGAGGACTTTTGATGAAAGCCTAGCATATTGTTTTGATTGAATTCTTTTGTGTGTATATAAATGAGTACTTTGTTATGTGGCCTTGACTAAAAGGTTGTTTGAGTACATGGTATGTTGCTATGTTGTCTCATTTAGCCATGCCTCTCTGTAGAGTGCTGTATTTGCTCTGCTGAATGTTCAGGCTGCACCTCATTATTATTCTGTTATGATGGACGAAAAAAAAAAAAAAAAAACTCTGGCTTGTTTGCATTTGTTTAAACCAATCATAATTGCCCTGGGCAGTGCTAAGCCCAGAATGCAACAGTGATGCCCCTTTAAAGTAATGAGATTTGCTTTGGTTGAATATTTGCATGCAAGTAGGTGAGCACTGTATTAAAATGGAAGCCTGTCTTATTGCACGAGTCAAACTCTTGACAAAAACTTTTGGCACGCAGACTGCTGCTTTGAGGTTGTTGTTTCCGATTCCAGCAAAGTGGGTTCTGAAAACAGCAGCATGCACATAGTGGAAAGAGCAAGAAAGCTGCACATAGTCAAAAGGGCAGGGCTATACGGATTACACTCAAAATCTACATTCAGTGAGTCAGACGAATTACTACGTGGCCTTGACTAAAAGGTCATCTCGTTTAAACTACAATTTTGACTTGTACCACATTGAATTATTCAGAAAACTTTGTAATGTTGTCCATCCATCCTTCCATTATCTATACACCACTTAATCCTCACTAGGTTTGTAGGGGGCTGGACTCTATCCCAGCCGACTTAGGGCGAAGGCAGGGGACATCCTGGACAGTCTGTCACACAACACTTAGAGACAGACAACCAAGCACACTCGCATTCACACCTACGAACAATTTAGAATCGCCAATCAACCTCAACATGTTTTTGGACTTGTGGGAGGAAGAACCCAGAGAGAACCCACGATGCACAGGGAGAACATGCAAACTCCACACAGAAGGATCCCGGGTGTCCTCACCGGGACACGAACCGGAGACCATCCAGCTGCAAGGCAACAGTGCTAACCACCGAGCCACCTTGCAGCCCCTAACTGTTGTGAGTGGGAGTCGAACTCACGACCGCATTAGGGAATTACAGCCCCTGTTTATGGGTCACCTGCTCAACCAGGTGAGCTATAAGGGCTCCCCTGTAATATTGTACAACAAAGAACTTGGAGATATTAATAATCCTCCTGACTTTTTTTTGGTCAGGTTTAGTTTCATGGTCCTCTCAGGAGTTGCCTGAATCACCTAAAAAGAAAAAAAAACATGAGAACTTTGATGGCAAACTACACCCGTGGGCAAAATTGTTGGTACCCCTCAGTTAATGGAAGAAAAACCCACAATGGTCACAGAAATAACTTGAATCTGACAAAAGTAATAATAAATAAAAATTCAATGAAAATTAAGCAATGAAAATCAGACATTGCTTTTGAACCGTGGTTCAACAGAATTATTTTTTAAAAAAAAGAACGACTCATGAAACAGGCCTGGACAAAAATGATGGTACCCCTAGAAAAGACTGAAAATAATGTGACCATAGGGACATGTTCAATCAAGGTGTGTCCTCTAATTAGCATCACAGGTGTCTACAAACTTGTCATCAGTCAGTCGGCCTATTTATAGGGTTACAAGTCGTCACTGTGCTGTTTGGTGACATGGACCAGAGGAAGCAAAGGACAGAGTTGTCTCAGAAGATTAGAAAGAAAATTATAGGCAAGCATGTTAAAGGTAAAGGCTCTAAGGCCATCTCCAAGCAGCTTGATGTTCCTGTGACTACAGTTGCACATATTCGGAAATTAAGATCCATGGGACTGTAGCCAACCTCCCTGGACGTGGCCGCAGGATGACAAATCAAAGAGACAGATAATACGAATGGTAACAAACCAGCCCAGAACAACCTCTGAAGACATTAAAGGTGAATTCCAAGGTCAAGGTACATCAGTGTCAGATCGCACCATCCGTCGTTGTTTGAACCAAAGTGGGCTTCATGGGAGACGACCAAGGAGGACACCATTGTTGAAAACAATTCATAAAAAAGCCAGACTGGAATTTGCTAAACTGCATGTTGACAAGCCACAAAGCTTCTGGGAGAATGTCCTATGGACAGACGAGGCAAAACTGGAACGTTTTGGCAAGGCACATCAGCTCTATGTTCATAGACGCAAAAATGAAGCATATCAAGAAAAGAACACTGTCCCTACTGTGAAACACGGAGGAGGTTCTGTTATGTTCTGGGGCTGCTTTGCTGCATCTGGCACGGGGTGTCTTGAATCTGTGCAGGGTACAATGAACTCTCAAGACTATCAAGGTATTCTATAGAGAAGCGTGCTGCCCAGTGTCAGAAAGCTTGGTCTCAGTCGCAGCTCATGGGTCTTGCAACAGGATAATGACCCAAAACACAGCTAAAAACACCCAAGAATGGCTAAGAGGAAAACACTGGACTATTCTGAAGTGGACTTCTATAAGCCCTGATCTAGACCCCATTGAACATCTGTGGAAGGAGCTGAAACATGCCATCTGGAGAAGGCACCCTTCAAACCTGAGACAACTGGAGCAGTCTTCTCATGAGGAGTGGGCCAAAATACCTGCTGAGAGGTGCAGAAGTCTCATTGACAGTTATAGAAATCGTTTGATTGCAGTGATTCCTTGAAAAGGTTGTGCAACAAAATATTAAGTTAAGGGTACCATCATTTTTGGACAGAGAACCTGAATCATAACGCTTCCAGCCTTGGTGGTTCTGAGTATAAACAGCAAAAAAGCCATCAAATAAAATAATGCACATAAAATGATGCACTGATATTTTACAACAGCTACATACTGATTTTGTAACTAGCCATCCAACCCTGTGCAGGATTAGTGAGTGTTGTGCCTACTGTTGAGATCTGGTTTGATTGGTTGGTCAAGAGACAGGTGCTATGACTCACTCCTGCTTGAACTAAAGTTGCTGAGGCTGACAGTAGTGCTAAGTTCTAAAGCAAACAGTGAAGCTTTTTTTATTTTCTGCCAGCATGTCTGGAATATTTGTATGTGCTCATGTTATGTTCTGATACAGATTCATTAGCAACAAGTCATCAGCAGAGAAATACACTGTACTCTGGTGGTAACCCAGAGCTTGGTAGGCAGTGTATGCAGTCATGCAAGCTGTGTGTGCAGATGTGCTACAAACACATTAGATTCTATTCAAATTCTAGACAACGCCCGTCAATGACAATCCTGCATAATGAGCGGCGGTGTACAAAGGAGTTTAAAACAAGATATTGCTCAACACAGAGCTGTGACAACATGCAATGTGATTCTGAAGAACCGGAATATCAACTTCATTTGAATGTCATTTAGATGACTAGTTGATAATCCAGTCAAACATGTCATTTAAGTTTTTCATTCAACAAAAAACCTTAGACATGTACATTTGATATTTAGGGTTTTTTTGTTTAACTTTTTATAATGAAAATGATTATTTGACTTTATCTCATCAGGTGGCTATATAGTCAAAGCAAAATTCAACGACTAATATTAAAACATATCTGCAGCTCATTAATTTCCCTTTTTTCAAACAGCACTGATTTTTTGGAGAAGCTTGATTGGTGTACACCAACGTTCTCCAGAGGGGTGTACTATGGAGCAAGTTCAACACAGCCAGGTTGTTGACTAAACTTAAAGCCTCAATCAGAGATGACCTTCTGGGGTGTTTGTCATGTGTCACACAAAATGAAAGGGTCACCTTTAGTCAAGAGAAACAGGTTGATATATCAGAGAGCCATGAAGAAAACAACAACTTTACTAGTGTAAAATGTACTGTTACTTCAAATGAAGCAAGAAAGGAAGGCTGATGTAAAATTGTTAATGGTGCAAGTTATTTTATTTATATATATATATACGTTTTATTCTATTTTTTGCTATTCTTCATCCCTTCAGTCATGTAAATACCCTTATAATTACTTTATACTGCTGCTATCTCAAATTTCATTGTGCTTTCTTTGTAAAATGACAATAAAGAGATTCTGATCCTGATTCTGGTTAATACGCAGCACAAAGCACCCATTTAGTTCTATTTCGACAGCTGCATGTTAGAGCTCTGAAACTTCAAAAACTTCAGCACAGCAAACCTTGCTAACCCCTTAAATTACTCTCTCTGTGGTACACCCCTCTGGATGTTTTGTTGTGATGACAGCTTAGACAGCTCATCTTTCTACTGAAAAAAGTGGTGGCGCTATAGTGTTTGTAGTGTGCTGTTTGAATCTAGGGTGTGTGCCTAAATTTCTGAACAGTTTATTTAAAAAATGTGGTGATTGTGAATGTGTTCACTGTGCATGCTGGCGGTTGTTTTTTGTATACGGTTAGATTGTGTTTTTAGAATAGAATAGAATAGAATAGAATAGAATAGAATAGAATTTAATTGATCCCTGTGGTGCAAACCTCAGGGAAATTGTTGCTGTTTTTAGTTTTCAGGCTGGGCGGGGCTGATTGGAGGAGGACGCTCCTGCGCTGGCACAGCTACAGCTCATCACCCTCGTTACGTGCTGGATAAAGCCACCATTTCACCTGTGCTCCAGTGCCGGATGATTGCCAACTCCACGAGTGGTACATTCAGGCCGCTTAGCTCTAGTACATGTGCTTCTTGCTAAGTAATCACAAGTTTTCGAGTGACCATGTTTCTCTCTTTGTTCTCCAGCGTCTCCTCCACCGGTCCCAGCATCCAGCTTTCCAGCTCGCTACGGCAGCTATTTTTCCCTCCGCGGAAACACGAGTCTGGATCACCTCTCTGCACAAGCACCAGCACGGGAAGATAACCACATGAGCATCAGCACGGGAAGAACACCACACAAACACCTGCACGGGAGATTACTCGCCTGCACTGCCGCAACAACCAGCACGCCTACCCCGGATCCCTCACCTGCCTCCCGGTGCCCTGCACTCCCCGGACCCACTAAATAAAACCTGTAATTCCTTTTAACCCTGCTTCCTTCTCGTTCTGGGTCCCGCACACGTCCTTCGGCCACCGTAACAAAAAAACTGACAAAGTTAAAAATAAAGTTAAAAGACATGAAAAAAGACATAACTGTAAATAAGTAGCTGTAGAAGTTTGTGTGTGTATTACCATGCTGTAAAACTGTAACTCTCGTGGACCTCTTGGTGGAGGCTGAAGCTGCTTCAGGACTGTTCCATCTGGGTGCTGCAAAATACCTGAAACAAACACAAAGCTGGTTTTAAAAAAAAAAACTATGAAGAGTTCAGCAAAGTAAAGGTTGTGGAGCTTTAGGCAGGAATTACCAATATGTAACCACTGATAAAGGAACCCAGCAATTTGGCTTCAATCCTGGTTTTAGCACATCAGTGTTAGTGTGCTGAAGTACAGACACCTCAGTTTAACAGTTATTCTGAAAAACTGTATTTACCGTCACTGTTTATTCACTGTCTTCACTAACTTAAGGGCTGAGGTTAGAGGCTGTTGTCCTCTCTGAACTACAGCTTAATAATCAACTTGGTAGCTGACAGAATATTCATAGGAAAGACTGTAATGGCCATTTCCCAGTTTTTCAACCTTGTTGGTGAAACCAAAATCTATTCATGCACACAGCACAAAATAATGGAACAGATTTGCTTAAGCATTGTTCAGTGTGAAGCAATTTTACGCATTCAACATGAAGTCTGAGATGCCTAATAAATACAGCCCATATCACATATCTGCTGATACAACTTTGTTGTAATCACAAGCCATTATTGTTTTTTCTGCAGACAATGCCATATGTTATTGTTGCTTTAGTACATTCTTCTATTTGAAAATGTAGGGTTAGTCGCTTTTACAGTTAATTATTTCTACATCACTGTGTGTTTCATTGAATGTGTTTCACCACAAATTAGACTTTTCCATGAGTAGGAAAATCATTTGACCACTTTGCAATCATACTTGCAATGTACAAATGTAAAAAGAAAGGTGCAGTGAGAAAAAGATAGGTCAAGACAGAAAGGATTATTCTGGTCTTTGGTTGATCTGTAGATTCTTCTAGAATGTACAAACATACAAGCACTAAACAATATACAGAACCTTCATAAATAACCAGCACACTTACAAGGGCCTGGAGGAGCCTGAGGATATTTGGGTAGGTTCTGTACGGTCAAAACCCTGAGGCCAAGCAGTTAGACAGGCCACCCCTTCACTCTGCAGCCACTGTGTTGCTTCTGCTTTTGTTTTGATATTTATATTTCATTTCTTTTGTGGGAAAATATACAAAATTCTAAAAAAGTTAAAGTGCTTAATATGCATTATGCTACTGATTACACAGAAATGAACACATGCACGCACACTAATGGCATGAAAAAGGTAGTGATAAATGGACAACAGCAGATATCTAGATAATTGTATCTTTCATTTTTGCTGATAAAACTGATTAAATTCATTAATTTTCAACTGACTAAAAATTGACTAGTCATTTTTAGAAGGATTATGCTAGTACACTACAACTTGGGTTGTATATCTGTAATTCTGTTTTTTCAGGCACTGAAACTGAGTCAGAGTGAAAGTGATAATTCAACAGGCTGATATGACTGACTAATTCAAGCTTATTACAAATATCAATACCAGAGTATATGTTTGCTGAAAATTCACACCACAAATGTCTTGTATGTCTCAAAATATATCTAAAGTTATTATCCAAACTGCTGCAAGGTAGCTCGGTGGTTAGCACCGTTGCCCCCAGCAAGAAGGTCGCCAGTTCGCGTGTGGTGATCAGCGTGAACACTGTTTCAAGTGTGGACATGCAGGGCACTTCTTGAGAGGCTGCAGAGGTCAACGGGGGCTGGTTGGAAAACCTGATGGCATGAATGCGACAATCCGAGCAGTCGCACCCCCCAAGCCATTATCCCCAAGTCAAGCTGAACCAGATGAAAAGGTGTGTGAATTACTGTGTGATTGGATTAGGCAGCTGGAGGCAGTGTTAGAGAGAAACGGAAAAACACAACAGACAGTGGGTGCCACCTATGCTAGCCATCTCACATTACGCCGCAAAACGAAACTGAATACCCTCATTGGAAAAAGTACATGGTAGATTGCTGTTTTGAGGGAGTACCCACACAAGCCCTGTGGGATACGGGTTCACAGGTGATGATTATCAACTAAAACTTGAGAAAATCCTGTCTCCCACACATCTTGTTATGGGGAATGGGTGAATTCCTGGGTGAGGACCAGACTCTGGTTGGCAAAGCAGCAAACCAGACGCCCATACAATTTGCAGGCTGGGTTGAACTGAACTCAAGCTGGGATCTAATAAGGGCACACAGCCAGAGCTACTAGTCCCAGTGCTAGTCTCCGATGAGCCAGGAGTAGCAGAACTCCCGATTATTGGCTACAATGTGATCAAGCATCTGGCTATGAATGGCATGGCGCAGCATCCAGAAGTTACACCTGCTGTGGTGAATGAAGCTTTCTCCATAGATTTTAAAAAAGCTAACGTGCTGATCCACCTAGTACAGTACAGTGACCAGAATGAGAAGGAGGGTGTGGTGAAAATTGGAGGACTAAAGACACTAATTCCAGAAGGCCAGACTAGGGAGGTTAGTTGTAATGTGAGGACAGGTCCACTCCCCACGAAACAAGAAGTCTTCTTTGAACCAGAGGAGGTCCCAAAGTGGCCAGAAGGGCTGAACATGTCTGAAACTGTTAACTGCCTGCAGAAGGGAAATTGGTAAAGGGTGGCTATTCCAATCACTAATGACAGCAACCATGATATTACTCTCACCCCGCGTACAGTGCTGGGGTGGCGACAGCAAGTTACGGCTATTTATCTAGCAGATGCAAGGCCAGTTGACGCTAACGAGAACATCACCAGAGTAAACAGCACAACCAATACAGCAGACACTAGTGAAAACACAGCCAGAATAGCTAGCACTCCTGTAAAGCACAGAGAACAAAGATCACCAAACACATGTAAACAAGATCTATAGGACCCTCCAGTGTCAGTTGATCACCTGACCCCAGAACAGCAGGGAAAAGTGAAGCAGATGCTACGAGAATAGTATGCTGCATTCTCAAAAGACGAGAATGATATGGGATGCATTCCTTCTCTGCAGTTAAAAATCAGATTGAGTGACAAAACTCCAGTAAGGCACACCTACACCTCAGTACCCAAACCACTCCACAAGGAGGTGAAAGACTATCTGGAGGACCTACTGAATAGAGGATGGATTCAAAAATCCCGGTCGCCATACTCCTCACCTATAGTCTGTGTATGTAAGAAAGATGGGAGTTTACGCCTGTGTGTGGATTATAGAGAATTGAACCAAAAATCCATTCCAGACCGTCACCCCATCCCCCGAGTGCAAGACATCCTAAACAGTCTCAGTGGGAGTGTGTGGTTCTCGGTACTGGACCAGGGCAAGGCATACCACCAGGGTTTCCTGGAGGAGAGCAGCAGACCACTCACAGCCTTTATAAGACCGTGGGGTTCATACATGGGTACGGATCCCCTTCGGCCTGTCCTTGGTCCTGAGTTCCAGCGAAGTATGGAGGAATCTCGTGGGTGAGTGATGAAACATCACAGCCATATTTGGATGACAATCTGGTCAACTGCAAGTCTTTTGAGGACCACCTGCATGATATGAGAGAGATGTTGCATCGCCATCAGGCGCATGGGGTAAAGCTATCAGCTAAAAAGTGTGAAGTGTTTAAAGATAAAGTGAAGTTTTTGGGAAGGACTGTATCCAAGGACGGCTACTGTATGGATACCACTGAGATAGCACCAGTACAAGCACTAAAAGACCGCAAACCAGAGACGATGGGAGATCTGAGGTGAATACTTGGGTTCCTGTCAAGGAGGAGTAGAAAGCAGGTAGACCAGAAAGGCTGGGACTCTAATCGCAGTTCTGAGGATGAAAGTAACTGGAGAGCCATCATCAAACCACCTTGCAGCCTGTATTAAAAGTATTCAATTCAGAAATGTCTTAAAATACTTTACGATTACATATTATATTATGGGGTTGCAAGGTGGCGCAGTTGGTTAGCACTGTTGCCTCGCAGCAAGAAGGTCGCCGGTTTGCATCCCGGTGGGGGCACCGGGATCTGTCTGAGTGGAGTTTATATTCTATTCTATTCTATTCTATTCTATTCTATTAATTCTGACCACCTGCCCCTCAAAGAAATTGGAATTGGGAATTATTAAGAACCAGAACTGATGAGCAGATTTGGAACCATAGTCAGAATCATTAAAATACAAATGATACCCAACCTAGAGTTCAGTGCCAACATTAGTCTGGGATAAATATCATTCACAAAGCAGTTATAGTTTACCTGTGTCTTGCTAATTAATAAGTCATTAAGTCTGAAACACAGCCAAATGCCATTTTTGAAGATGAAGCACACAGATTAGAATTGTAAGTATTATGTCCATCTATCCATCCATTATCTATACACCGCTTAATCCTCACTAGGGTCGCGGGCGGGCTGGAGCCTATCCCAGCTGACTTAGGGCGAAGGCTGAGGACACCCTGGACAGGTCGCCAGTCTATTGCAGGGCTACACTTGGAGACAGACAACCAAGCACACTCACATTCACACCTACGAACAATTTAGAATTACCAATTGACCTCAACATGTTTTTGGACTTGTGGGAGGAAGTATGGAGAACCCGGAGAGAACCCATGCTGCACGGGGAGAACATGCAAACTCCACGCAGAAAGATCCCGTTGCCCCCACCGGGACACAAACTGGCGACCTTCTTGCTGCGAGGCAACAGTGCTAACCAACTGCGCCACCTTGCAGCCCCATATTGTTTTATTTTTAGACTCAAAATATAAGGCAGCAACAAATGACATTTAGACATGTAAAGTATTTTGACTTCTTGGCATCAGTTATTAATTCTAGCAAAGAAAAAGTACCATGTATGCACAGTGTTCAACAGCAGCTTTCTCTGCCTGAATTGCATGGTAACCATGATCACAGCTTGCAGTGGCTCACATTCACATTGGCCAAAACATCAGGAGACAATGCAGCAAAGCAACGTCTTCAGCTGCATCATTTGAATGAAATCTTGTTTGCCTCTTGAACTCACAGGTAAAATGCTTCTTATCTCGTCTTAAGCTGAACCAGGGATGAGCCACAATGGTCAATAGATTGTCTGTAGACTTTTTAAAAAACATCAGCATTGGATTACCTGTGTGCGAAAAACTAAATTAACCACTATAACCATCTTCTTCAGTCAGTGATCTTCACACTTTTAGCCCTTTGTGGCACAATGTGCATTACTGATATACATTTAAACAAAGAGGCACTGGAGGCCAAGGGAAACACTGGGAGGAGATCATGTTCAGCCAGCAGCAGTACAAGCTCAACAACATTCTCGTGCTTGTGCCACAACCGCTGTAGAATATGCAGTACTCCTTTTCTCTTCCTGTTAGCTGGAACTTGTGCGTCCTGGTTTAATCATTATTTTTTACCAAGCCCAAGAGGGACAAAGATAAGGTTCCACGTTACTGTCAAATATACTGCCTGCCTCAGTGAATGCCTCTTTCTACTTCCAAGAGACATTCTGAACAAGCCACCATCACACAAATATTCTGCACAATTCATTAGTGACACTACCACCATTTCCATATTGCACACATCTACATTCCATTATTTCCACTAATTCCTTTAACCTTTCAATGATGAGAGGAAACAGGTTTCATGGCTTCAGATTTGTATTAGTCTTTGATTTCTGATAAGCAAAAATATACTGCTGCATTTATTATTGATCTATTTCGTTTACATACACCATTCAGCCACTACATTAAAACCACAGTTTTTCAAATGTTGTGTCTTTACTGCCCCAAAAAAGGAAATACAGGCCCTGGTCATGCAAGGCCACGACAGCATCTCTCTGTTCCCCCTCATCACTGCAGTTGGTCCTAAAAGTAAGTCCAATGTTAGACTTTCTGCATTTCAAGAGCATGCAAGGCTCCTGTTTGATGTAACCTTCGTAATCTCCCAAATCCACAAGAGTGAGCACAGACCCATCCACAGACGTCTGCATGCAGCCCAAAATGTATGTACGTGCATAACTAGGGCAGTAGCATGCCTGCTTGGCAGTGGTGTAAATGTGCGGAATATGTAAGTAAGATCTACTGCACATGTGTGAAATGGAGTTCTAGCAGATTCCAAGCAGACTCGAAAGAAACATCACACCACGCAGCCATGGTGTCCACAGCTGGCTGTGTGTGCGTTCAGAAAGAAATATAATCAAAGCTTTTAATACTAGTTAGCAGCTACGATTCACACTAGACAAAGACACAGCCTTAAACCAGTGGTCTCCCTGCCATTGTTACAAATGGAAAGGTAATACAGCATCTTACATGCTTATAATAACTTAAAGACTGATATGATCAATAACCATAATCAGTAAAGTATTTCTGATTGTGATTTAAGAATAAATTATCAAAGGTAACTTGAATGTGCCACATTTGGACAAATCTGTGCAGAGGTGTTCATAACACTAACCTTTAAAGAAGTCTGCACTGATTCTGTTCAGGAGGGAAAAGCTGACAATTGTTTCTCCCGTGTGTGTTCTGATTCACAGTGTTAGCAGAGAGGAGAAGCTGTTCTCAAACAGGTCTGCTGTCAATGAATTTGTGAGACAGAGAGAGGGACACAGCTTGACAGTGTAATAGGAGTTTACCCATTTTAAATAGCAAAAAATAGAAACTCAGTACGTTGAGGTCAGTGTTTGTTTTGCGGTGTGTCATTACAGATAAATCAGTGTGTCGGAAGCAGTGATCTGATGTCATTGGACTCTTTTTGAAACAGTGTCAGACACCTCTCCAATTATATTGGCAGCCATTGACAGTTGGAAAATGCAACATATCATTGAACCCGAGATGCAGCACGATGACTGACAATGACACATCACACTTGTTACCAACCATTTTACCAACTAAGTTATATTGGGTAAAGCTCATTCTGTGTGTCATGTGGAAGAGTTACAGAGTCGGTACAGGTGGTAGGCCAGTACTGCAACATGGTACACATGGCTGAAGAAACACACTCATTTTCATACTAAAATAAATGGTGTATACTCCACACCTAGTCTGTTCACACTTCAACCAGAAAAAAAGACTTCAACCAGGGAAATCTTTGTGGGTGGACAGGTTTACCCAGACTGCACTGCAGGCCACAGATAACTCCTGAGAATGCCATCCTGTCTGTACAACATGAGTATGTTTCAATTCATTGTGGTGACTGACTGATCACTATTGATTCACCTACCTGAGACAGCACTTTAACTAAGAACAATAAAAAGCACAATTAGTTATAGTAACACCTCATCTGACAGTCAGTGTGTGTGAAGACTAGAGGAAGCAACGAAGACACAGTCACATCGACAAATAATAGCTGAACCATGAACATGTAGCTTTCTACATGAGTAGGGACAAAATACGAAAGACCATCTACTTCACTTCCACAGGTCCATGAATCTCACATCAGATACATACTGCTTCCTCCTCTATTAAAAAAATACACCATGCTGAGCTCAGATTTTAAAATCTCCATTTTTCTATACTTGCTGACAGCAAACATACATGACAGAGCAGAACAAAGCCATTGTTGAATTACTCGTCTGTCATCCACATCTCTTCCAATAATGCAGGAGTGGCAGACCGTAGCAGCATGAAGACAGCTGCAGGTCCAATGTTCTACTGAAGTTAACATCATGTCTTCAGGCTCAGGCAGTCCACCTGGCCAAACCCGAGCTGTCAACCACAAGCTGACAGTGAGCAAGTGAGCGTGTGAGTGTGTGTGTGCGTGTGTGAGAATGACTGACTTACAAACACGTTGTGAAGCTCAAAAAGGTGTAAGTGTGGTAAGTATGTCAGTCGCATGAAGGTGAGGAATACGCATACAGTGACTTAGTCTTCTCCCAGTTAACTTACCCACTTTGTCCACGCCGTACTTGTGACCCGCCACCTGGTGTGACAGCGGGACGCAGCCGTTCAGGTGAGCCGGGCTTTGAAGCCCTACAGCCCGCTGGCCGGACTTGTCTTTGGCGGGGGCGCCTCCGGAGAGCCGCGGGGTCAGGTTAACCCCAACAGGGGCAGGGCTTGGGGTCAGCTCCAGTCTGCCGAGGGCCAGAGATGACTCCATCATCACCTGATGTTGAGTTGTGGACATTTGTCAAATATAAAAAGGTTTGGGTCAAGGCTTTTGTCCAAGACAAAGAAAAATAAATGTAAAAGTCAAGGATGGGACTGATCGATTCACATAGTCATTACGTAAGCACAGAGTTGAGCCCCGCACACGTCCAACACAGTGTGAGAGGAGAGAAGACTGCTCCGGAACCGTCCGGTCCAGACCCAGCCCACCCAGCAGCTCCGGTCCCGGCCGCTATCGTCTCCCGCTGACAGGCACCAGCACCGAGGACAGCCGCCAGAAAAGCAGCGCTCCTTCACTGATGTTCATATGTTTGACAGCAGCATAAATACATCCTGGACACATCCCACTTCCTCCCCGTGTCAGCACGCCCACAGCCCGCCACCATGTCCGGTCGAAGCCTCCAAAGTAAATGCGGCAGTGCCGATAATACAATGTACACGGTAATAACACAACACAAAGTGCTCTTTTACGGATGTCAAATCGTCTGCTGTTTTTTTTTCCTTGCGTCACCTCTCTGTCCAACCCCCCGACTCTATTTTAAAAGTGAACGCTGTTATATTTGGTGCTTTTATTGCGGAGGCCCATCGAGGCCAGCTGGTGTTCAACCTCCTGAAGTTCCGCTAAATTGACACAGCTCCACTTCCCCGTTCCACTAGTAAATACTGCTGCCAGTCTGTAATGGTGATGTTACGACACCGCCAGGAGCGATCCAGCTCCACCGAGTAGAAGGGACGGGCGAACAGACAAGATAAAATAGCATGAAGAGGTTATTCAGTCCAGGTTTCGATGCTAACTCATCGATACTGTCCATGAGTCTGCTAATCAAAGCCGTCACAGTTCAAAAGAGCAGACCGACATCACACCTGCCCGATAGCCGCCTTCATCATGGAGGCCAGTCAGCGGAAAATGGACATAAACACGATGCATTGTCGTCCAAAAGTCCATGATATAAGCAGCGGTCGGTGGAGTCCTCCTCAGCCAGATATCCAGGTCAGTGTAGGCGGCTACCTCTCTACGTAACGAGCAGCGCCCAAAGCCTCCCACACGTTTACGACCGCTGCTGTCGCAAAAACGTGCGTTGTGTCCCGTTGACGGCAGCGCGCTGAGATTGGTTTGTATTTGTCATCAGTGTGGACAAAATGAGCAGAGGCGTTTGTGGCGTTCCCAGCTCGCTGTCACTGTTTATAGCTGGCTTCGGTGTCACATTTCAGTCCGTTTAAATGTCAACCCTTCTGGCATAGAAGCACACACTTTATTAGTATTGTTGTTGTTGTTGTTGTGTTTTAAATCCCAAACATATTGTAGCTGTTCCTAAATAAAATGTAGAGATTTTCTTTTTCTTACAATTAGGCAAATAGGGACCTTGGCATCGAGAGTTATGTGCACATACAGTAAATCTGTTGGCAGAAAGTAAGACAAGATCACAGTTTTATATCAAGTATAAGTATACATAAATAGTCTCTAGGACCTGCATTTAGCAAGATTTTTCAAAATAGCTCTATAATAATGCCATACTGACAAAAAACTACAACCTAAAATAGTTCCTCAGTATGTTTTTTTAATTTTCGTGACAAAAACCTAATCTCGATCAATGATATACTTCAAATAACAACCTCTCTCAGTTTTAAAAAGACAATCCCTGCTACAGCAGCAACACTGAGTTATGGCTCTGTTTTCCAGATCCCATACTCCAGCACAACAGACGTTAAGCCACACAAATTTATACTGCTAAACATTTACATTTTTGATTTTTTTTTTCTTTTTGGCCTAAAATAAAGCATTCTAATATATTTGGCCTTGTTATTCCTTCATCATTAAATGAACCAAACCAATTACCAATAACTCTACAAAAAACCTCCACGAACCCCTTTTGAGTTTTGGGGGTTCCTCTGGCAACCTTCTCTGAACTGATTCCCTTTTGACAGCCCTGGTGCTAACAAGGGAGATTTCTCATTTGGGCTTTCTTCAAAATTAAGATATGCTTGTAGACCCTGGCCAATAGATTCAGCATGTGCTGCTAAATAGATAGCAGTTAATTCCCTGCATGTCATCTCAGCTACTGATATAGGGAATCTCATCACAGTTTACCAGAAACATATCTCTTCTAGTCTCTGAGCTCAACTGGCCTCCAGGAAAACAGCCTCTGACAGAGATCTGGTAACACACTTGTTCCATCAGCTCATGTTATGGAAATGTGTCTGTCTTCATTTAGTGGCTTGAGGTATTTCATTAATTCTAGTTTCATATGTATGTTTGGATTCATGACTATTATGCTATATACTATATAATATTTTATGAAGGCAGCAATGTGTTAAAGTATTCAGAAAGAATATCAGAGGTGATATCCAGAGTGCTATTTGACCTACTTCATCATTTCAGGCCATTCATATTATTTCTACAATATAGTGACTAAGAAAAAATACATCAGTTGACTCTACTTTGAGTTTAAAAGACTATTTTTGTTGTGTAATTTCTAGCATTACTATAATATTTCAAACTGTCCCTATTAAATGCTTCTGTTGTTATTATTGTACATACAAGGTGTGTCAGAAAAGTTCTCGGACTGGTGTCATAAAAGATACATTTCAAATCCAAACTACAAACTAGGAGTTTTCCCCCTCAAAGTAATCCCCCTGGAGTATATAACTGCAATCTCAGCTCTCTGAAGCCATTGAACATTGCCACATGCTTTCATATAGAAATATATGTCTTCTTTTTTTGTGTCGTCAAGCAATGAGCACAGAGCAACAAACAAACCTGAAGTTTCTTGTCCGGTTGGGAAAAACTCCATCATAAGCACTAGGATTGCTGCAGCAATTGTGCAGAGATGAGACGATGTCACGCTCATGTGTTTTTGAGTGGTGCAAGAGGTTTAAAGAGGAGCGCAAGGATGTGGAAGAGGACCCCAGGAGCAGAAGGCCTTCAACGGGCAGGACTGAGGCCAACGTTGAGTGTGTCAGGCAGATGATGCGTGGCGATCGTCGGTTGACTGTTCGACTGATTGCAAATGAGCTGGGCATGAACCAGGACAACGTCTGGAAGATTATCACTGAAGATTTGGGCATGCGGAAAGTCTGCGCTAAGATGGTTGCCAAAACTGCTGAACGATGACCAGAAGGATCAATGCATGCAAGTGTGTCAGGATATCCTCCAGTGTCTTGAAACTGAACCAGACTTGCTAGGGAGGGTCATCACCGGTAATGAGTCATGGACCTTTGAGTATGACTTGGAGACCAGCCTTCAATGGAAGAGTCCGACGTCGCCAAGGCCAAAGAAAGCAAGACAGTCAAAGTCCAAAGTCAAAGTTATGTTGACCGCATTCTTTAATGTGAGGGGCATTGTCCACTGCAAGTTCTTGCCACAGGGCCAGACGATCAACCAGCACGTCTACAAAGAGATCTTGCGGCGTTTGCTTCGTTCAGTGCGTGAGAAGAGGCGAGAGTTTTGGCAGGACAAGTCGTGGCTGCTTCATCATGACAACGCACCTGCTCACAATGCCCTGAGCATCTGACAGTTCCTGGCTGAGAAAAACACTGCTGTGCTGGAGCACCCTTCGTATTCACCCCACCTGGCTCCATGGGATTTCTTCCTCTTCCCCAAGTTCAAGGGGGTCATCAAGGGGACCCGTTTTGAAGACGTGAACAACATCAAGATGGCTGTGACGACGGAGCTGTGGAGGATCCCAGAAGAATTTTTCCAGGAATGCATGGCGGCGTAGCAGAGAAGGCTGGGAAAGTGTCTTAGACTCCAGGGGGATTACTTTGAAGGGGAAAACTGGTAGTTTGTAGTTTGGATTTGAAATATATCTTTAGTGACACCAGTCCTGGAACTTTTCTGACACGCCATGTAGATTTATCTTGGTTTTATCATATAGTGACGTGTTTGCTGTAGCTATTCAATCGAGAGTTCAATGAATTTTTCTCTTAGATCAGTCTGTACATCCTATAAATGGTAACTGTTGTATTTTACCACAATCAGCATTCATGATATCAGTTCAGCTGTTAAATAATCTTAGATGAGTCAGTCTTTGTTATTTGAATGTCAGATAACTTCCTGAAATGCTATATCTGGTTTATGTTTGCTTTATGCAGTTTAGTAAATCAGAAGTCCGTTCCGAATCAAAGGCAACCTTATCTTGTCTGTCATTTGATACCAATAGGACATCAGATTTTTTCCCCTCCTATTTCTCAGACAAAGTGTGTGACAAAGACATTGTAAAATGCCGTTACACTGACAAACAGTGCAACAGTCCACTAAGTAATGGAATGTATGTAAAAATAGATTACTGTTTACTGAGATTGAGGGCCTCATCTGTAATTGCAGGGAGTGCGTGTTCCGAATTGCAATGACAATTTTGCTATCTGTTGGAAAGTTCATGCTATCACTGTAATTGGTCTCAAGTCCCATAAACACAAAATGCTGGAACCAGGAAACAGATAACATTCAGTTTACAGTAAGATGAAGAGCTGCTCAGTTCGTACTCATGTTCACAACAACATGAGAGTGTTTATGCTAAAGGCTCACATCCGCCTTACATAATGTACAAACAGCAGAATTACGAATTAGATTAAGCACCACTTCAGCCTGTCCAAGTTTAAGTCAGATGCCCAACCCTCAATGTGCTATATTCATCATATTGTTTCCATTATTAAATAATCATCTGCTTTCACAGACCGCCAACTCTGATCGAAGACGAGAAAGGCAGATATCTGACACTGCACTAAGAAGTAAGAACTGGCAACACGAAAAACTGAATGATTACAGCTGACAATGAATTGAAATTCATAGGTATCACATGCATGCAAGCACACACATCACAAAAAAATAAACATTGTGTAAACGTCAATGAGTGCTTCAATAAAGACTCAATACAAAATGTTAAAATATAATAAGTTGCAAGATAAAGCATATTAATGTACAATAAATGGCACTTCAGATACCACAAGCAAAACCTACCAAGCAGAACTTTGAGGGATGTCTGCATGGTACAGAAGAGTTTGCAGTAATCAGGTAGACCTGCCATCCCTCCAGTCCAGT